CTGCCAAACTACATAAACTTAAAATATCGAAAAATATACAGCGCGCGAATTTTAAATGAGAATTTCCGAAAACTTTTCGGTCACAATGTAACTCAAGTTTACACATAAGCGGATTTAGTAGAACTGCATTTTTAATCTACACTGTTCACACTTCACATTATATTATGCATATCACATTTAATGATTTTTAATTTACCCTAATAACATGTTTCTACTGGTCTCATTTAGGCAGTTTTGCTCATTTAGACCGCTAATGAGGATAACTTACCATACAAAGAGTTTTTATGTAAATTAACTCGTTAGATCAACTAATTTAAGGCGAGAAATGATGAATGCAACCCTTAAAAATAAATTTCACACAAGGGAAATGACAAAAATTGAAAATATTTGTCATATGTTGTATGTGCAGAATGTAAAGAAACAAGCTATAAATCAGCTCATGCCAATTGAAACGACAAAATCTCATTTCACTTACATAAGTAGTTTCAGGTGCAGTGTAAATACTAATAGCTATTGCTATTGAATTGCTTTTAACGATTAATTTTTAATTATTTTAATATCGTAAAAAAAATCTACGATATTAAGTGTTGCATTAAACAAATTTAATAAGAATTTTACTGATTTCGGTATTTTCTAATTTACAATGTTTGTTTTGAATAGATTTTGACATTTCTTTTCCAATTCTTCTAATATCGTAAAAATTCTACGATACTAAGACATTTGCAGAGTTGCATAGAAAAATAATAACTATTTCTAACTAGATTTCCAAATAATCTTGACCAAAATGAAGTTAACTTTTGTATGGGAAATCTGTAATTAAATAATTAGATTTTTACTTTAACCTCGATTGTTGCTGTTAATCTCACAATGTAAACGTAGTATATTATGTTGAGGCTAGTTGAGTCAGTGCACCTGAGCACTTTTATTCTCTATTAACTGCGAGGTTGTCTTTTGTTCAGTTAGGGTCTGTTGTAGCACAAAAGATCAATCATGGTCGCGGTGCTCTGCTCAAATGGGAGCTAATACCCTGTTATTTCTTATCTTAACTGCGAGGTTTCTTAAAAACCCCTCTTTGCCCCTTGACTAGGTTATTGTTTATCACTTCGACTAAGCAATAATTGACCTCAGATATACATACCTCCCCGAGGAGCCTGTAACCATTCTGAGATAATATTCACAACTGTTATATTGCATATTTGGTATTATATATACGACTATAAATTCTTAAATACAATTCAATAAATATTAATTAATCTTTTTCTCATATTATATTATAATGAATTTATTTCCGATACTTATTTTGGTTTCCATGATATATATTTTTATTACTTTCTGTTTATTTCCTATTAAATACCAATATCAATCAATTTAAGATCATTAAGAAACTTGATCTTAGTTTTTCAAAATGTAAACAAATAAAAGTTTATTAACGAATCGCTTCCATTTTTTTTCAAAGTCTATACTTTTAGGGTTTAATGTCTATCAGTATAAATTCTTCTACTTTCTTTCTTCAAAGTTTCACGTTTCTTGAATAATTCAGCGAATAAATAATTTGCCCGGTTAATTTATTGAGCTTCTTAATATGAATATATTTATTTAAATTGATTTATTAGGAGGATGCTTAATAATTGGTGTTAACTTTTTAAAGCTAGATAGAATTAGAATAGATTGCATAATTTTTTTATAAAATTTTTTTTCTTACTAAATTAAAATTACGTAAAATCTTAACGATTAATGATATCAGAAAGGTCATTTTATTTAAAAAACAACAAAAATTATTTGGCTCAGTGACGTACTTACTAAACTTTCTTCATTCATTTCTTTCTTTTCCCGTCTTCTTGTGGTGACTAGTTGTCATATGTTAGTCTTCCAATTAAAGTGCCATTCTTCTGGCATTAAACTTCTTCTTTACATAAATCTGCATATTTGGGTTAATAGATGCATTTGTTTTGAGATTAGAAATGATTTTAAAAAAGTCCAAAAAAATAGCTTAAAAGGGGAAATTATTGACCAATCTGGAACTATAAAAGAAAGTCTATTTGAGTTCCACAATTTAGTATTCGCAAATCACAAATGGATTAAGAATGAATATAACGCGCGGATTTTCGGTGTTTTTAGTACTTGTATTATTTTACAATGTACGGGCGGAATCTTTCTTCAAGTCTTTGAACAAACGGATCGTTGATGGTTTTGTTGCAGAAAATGATGAAATGCCATATTTGGCAAGGTTGAAAACTGTGAGTGGAAGGAGTGGATTTGGAGCTGGTGCATTGATATCTTTGAAATGGGTTGTCACAGCAGCACATTGTCTTGTTAAATACGAACAAATACGCGTAATTATTGGTACTGGACATCGCATTAAAGAAACTGGTGCACAAGTGCGAATTGTGAATAAAACTGAATTTATTATACACCCTGAATATCTGGGTACAATTGAAAATCACGATATAGGACTGATGCGTATATTGGAACCTTTTATATTCGAACCGGGAAAAGTGCAGCCTGTTGAATTATTTTCTGGCATGTATAAGGAATATGGTATAGGAAAAGTTTGTGGTTGGGGGCGTGACGTAAATCAAAATCATCCTAGATATTTGCAGTGTCTTTATACAAATGTTATCGGTTACAATAATTGTGCAGAATCTCTAAAACCTAACAGGAAATTAAAAAATACTATGATATGTTCAGTAAATCCTGGTTTGGTACAAGGTGCTTGTAAAGGTGATTCTGGTGGTCCATTAGTTCGATTGAATATCAAAAAGCATAGAACTAAGAATGGTACAAATTTATATGAAATAAAGGAGGAATTGGTAGGAATTGTTTCTTGGGTTGTTAAATCTTGCAGTAGTCCCAACACTCCATCAGTATATGTTAAAGTTCGAATTTATAAAGATTGGATTGAAAGTGAGATGAGATTAAATGAATTATTGGAGCAAGAACTAAATGCTCAAAATGAAACAACTACAGAAGCCATAACCGCAGAAGCTATAACCGCAGAAGCCATAAACGCAGAAGCCATAAACGCAGAAGCCATGAACACAATAAATAATGTAACTATTAGTTAATAAATAATATTTTTATAAAAGTTATAAACTGTAAATGTCAATTTTTTACGCTTAATATGAACAGAAATTGTGAAAATTGCATGAAAAATAACACCCAAGATTTTAGATCGAACTGTGTATTAATATTAGCTGTTTCCGCAATTATACCTTTGAGTGTTCCGCATTCATATGAAGATACTATTATGGAAAGAATTGTATGAACATATGAGTATAAAGGAATATAAGAACTTGAAGGTTATTGTTTTTCCACATGAAGAAAAAATAGATGGAGTAGTATTGATTTAAACGATGACAAAGTTGCATTGTACTAGGCGAATTTAATTTTAAAATTTTGATTGACTATATTTGATTTAATAATTTCGAATACTTTCTATAGAGAATAAATAT